GTGAAACTTATCGTTTAAATTACCAATTCTACTGCAACCTACAAGGCTATATCCACATGAGGCCCAGAGCACAATTGAAAGAGAACCGTAGCCACCTATACAATATCCCTGTGTGTAGCAGCCAATGTTTCTTTCTTAGTAATTACCTCTTTTATAGATTCAAACTGCTAGACCTCATTGCCTCACACCGACACAGGCTCATTCAGAGCAGAAACCACCCATTATCCATCAAGGACAGCTGCATTGACACATTGAATTCAGCTGCCATTTTCCGTTAGAAAACACAATTAACAGGTCATCATTAGCACCATTACTGATGTCTGAAAGACTAGCAATATAACACCCTAACCCTTTAGCCCATGGTGATCTCAAACTGCAGGCCTGGGGACCATTTCCAGCCCTCCATCTCTTTCCCTCTGGCCCAAAAATATAATATAATCTGGGCCGCAAGATTACTATTCAATTTAAACTACTCATTTGCTGTTTGGCTGCGAACAACAAATATGATAATAAATCATGATATAAAAATGTATAGAAACTGCTGTTTGCATTTTTTGTTGTTGTTGTGTTAAGTATGATGTAAGTAATGGAAATATTTTCAGAATATTGCGTTTTCTTGTAGTACTTTAACATTAAAGTGGCGCTCCTATGACAATACCAGCAATTGTCCAATGCCAGTTTGAGGCCCCTGCTTTCCCACATCATAGTGGCCAGGTTCCTACCGGTAAATAATGCCTTCTGAAATTGAAAATGCTGCAGAATCGTAGCTGCCAACACCTGAGGAAATGTGTCAAAATTATTTCTGCTGGTATTTCAAGAAGACACATCAAGCAACACTTGATGACGGTACTGAGTCACGTTGCTGTCGTACTGAGGCTGAGTCTGTAAAGTGTTTTCTCAGCAGCAATGCACTGTTTCATCACACACATTGTCGACTCTGAAAGACCTTTCAAAGCTTCAGGCCTCTCGCTGGACTTGTGTAACTGGAGAGACTCATGCAGCTCCTAAGTGTCTAGACCTTGTTTGCTATAACCAATGTAATTTACGTCTCCCCGACACAAGACACACTGCAGCCTGAGGGCCTTCTCACCAGGGCATTTTATGGTAAGTCTGGTTTGACTTGGCTAAAGATTGCATGATTAACTTTTAAGTCTCAAGATAGATTCTTCAGTTTGCTTTCAAATAAGTAACGAACAAGAAACAAGAAGAGAGGTAAAAGAGGTGCATGTTGCTTTGCATGAACAATATCTAATGACGTCACATCATCTGAGTAGGGTGGGGGGCGGGGGGCAAGTGACGCTGATGCTTGGCGGATGTTGTTCTGGTTTAGCAATGATTAACAAACATCTCACATACAAGGTCACGTCACACTCTCTCTTCTGTCCTTCATTGTTTTGAACCATTGTTTAATGTCCTTTCAGGCCATGCCATGAAAATTCTACATCATTTCTTTTAAATTTGCAATGAAAATATAATTGAATTGGAAAATTAAACTAATAACTATTTCTTTAGCCTACTTGTCTTGTGTCTGGCATTAGCAGAGGTAAGACAAGGGCAAGTGGTTGTTTTTGCCTTTTTTATTTTTATTTTATTGGCAGCACCAGTCCTAACTTCACCTTTGACCACTGTTGTCTCCAAACATTAATTTCTACATCAGCTTGGAGGCACACATGATGTGAAATACTATGACAAGGGACAAAAGGGGTACCTGCAAAAACACAATTTTATAAATACATTCCTGCCTGTGTTCAGACTATTGTCTATTCCATATGGCTCAATATTATCATACATTATACTCATTATCCATTTCATCACAAATAGAAAACAAAATGAATTAACTAAAACAAGTTTTATTTATTATTTCTAGTATGTAAATCTCACTGTTGAAAATACAATCATTTTGTAGCAGAACAGTATAAACCTCAGTGGAGACTGAGACTATGTGAGACAAAGCAGCCAAGTACGGAATTTGAAGAAGCTGTTTTTTCCATGGTCTTTTTGAATCTTTGAATGATGGATATTCTTTATCACTTTAAGTACAGCCTCTGAACTGGTGAGTACTTCTGGTTGACGAAGTCCTTTTGATCTACAAAAAAAAGATCTTATAGATAAAGTGTGTCGAGTGCACATTTTAAACACAATCATCTCTCATTCGAGTACAAACCTCCAGCTTCTACTGATCTTGAGCCTTCCTTAATTCATACATGAAAAAACGTGTGGTCTGATTAAGATAATTTAATTCCGACCAAGTCAAATAACATAAATGCACATAATTGTATTATGGATCTTTTTTTTATTCAATATAAACATTTCTCTATTGTGCACATTCTGAGAAAAATATTATGTAGAAATTATCAGTTCTTTGATGCCCATGTTCAAAAGAGATATGTTTCTTTCCTATTTGAGAATAAAACTACAAACCCGGCGACGTTAAAGAAAAACTGGTCTTTAATATGAAGCCTAGTTGATATGGAGCTAAGCCCTTTATCTTTCAAAAGTTATTAAAATGGAAGACGTTTGATTTATTTATTTATTTTTACTCTTAACTGTGTTTGTCCACTTAGGCCTAATTCATTTTCACACATTTTATTGAACTGTGTACTACATTCATTTGGTTCTGTGTTTGAAATAAAGAATATTAGTATACGTACATAAGGTATTGTGATAACCTTGCCTGAGGCAGTGGATTATTTGTGTGCTGTTTTTGTAAGGCTGGTCTGGGAGCAGAGCATTGTTTCAGTCCCAGTCCATCCCTGGTCGACATCAGCTTTCTTTACACAGACACAATGGTTTAGCCCTCAGGCTAGCAGGCCAACCCACTGCCCCTGGTCAACACGGGTCATAAGAAACATACCAACTTATAGCTGCATGGAGCCTGATTTCTATATGGCTTTCTACCCTTTGTAATGGCCTTAGGTTTCAGAAACGTGGTCATATGTGCAAAGTGGCTTCAAGCCATCAGGCATTGCTTTTCATATAGAACTTATCACATTAGTAAAAATGACAAAGGTCTTTAACAATCTCTGCCCTTTTCTGTCAGTTAGTCACATTCGTCCTTTCATCTTCTCTAGCTCTTCTTATCTTCTTTTAATCCCTAGTTCCTCACTTTTATTATCTTTATTTCTCGCATACTTTTGCACTCTTCATCTCTATACATTTTAATGAGTAAAATAAAACTTTAAACTACATTACACGTTATCTAACCCAACAACTACATCAAAACTTTCCATTTGTCCACAACTTATTTTGGTTGTGGAAGAAGTGGTTTAGCACCATTTTGAGAGGGTCTTCTGGGATTCAGCCCATCGTGTTTGTTTCCAGAGATGGATGTTGTACATAGATTGTTTCCAGTTAACAAAAGCCTGCTTGACTGCACAATGGATCGTGATTAGATTAAAGCTGCACTGTAAGAGCTTTTCGTTAGTGTTAAAGCAGGTTTTATCTCCGAGGGGGACAGGGCCAAAACGGGACACTGCTGAGAGGCATTTATTCAGAAAGAAACACAAGCTCTGTGAAGGGCATACTGCAGGCACAGGAGGTCTCTATCCTTGACAGCCAGACAACTTGCATGATGCATTCAAACGCAAACACTTTGACTGATGCCACTATTTGATGGAAAAAGGAGAAAGAGAGTGAGAAAGCGACATAGAGGGACAACCGAAAGATCATTACAAAGGAGAAAGAGTTAGAAAAGGAGAGAAAGACAGGAAGGGAGACAGAAGGCCTGGGGAGCATCCATGTCATTACATTTCCCTTGAACTCGTGTCAGGGACCCTCTGCTGCCATCAGTCTGATGAAGTGTAGCTGGTGCTATGAGCAGTCAGCCTGGCAGATCACTTCACGGATCACAACACCAAAGCCTAGAATGCTCAAAGCTCAGAGACGTTGCAACATTTCCACCATTACCCCACGTGTCAAAAACAGCTGAGTACATTATGTCCTCCATGTTTACGTGGCACGACACTTGACATCGGTCGCAGAGGCTTTGGCCACGTGTACAAGCATGGTGAAATGTCACTCTTGGGTTAAGATCCCCCTTTAGCTCGATCCCCAGGGCACGGCATCAGCTCCGACTCTGAGTCAGATCGGTCTTAATGTGAAACACTGTGTGCTTTTGACCCTGAAGGATGGACCGAGAGTGATGTCAGTCCAAGAGGCTGCTTTATACTCTCTAAATGTATTTCAGTGTAAAAACCAGAGGGTTTCAATGTTACAACAAGAGTGCTATTTTATGTCCAGCGTAAGTGGACACAGGGCCACTAAGCTATACGATTGCAACCTAATTACATGGTAATATAGAACACTTTAGGTGAAAACCAATAAGTCTACCATAACAGGTCTACATAATGTAATCCCATTATAGGTCCATTACCTTTGAGAGGGTGAGGAAAGTAGGAAAGCATATATTTTTCATCAGGGGCTTCTGGGCATCACTATAAGGGGGCATCAGGGAATAGGGCATCAACAGTAGGTGTGGTGTACATCCTTCTTGCCTTTGCCCGGAAAGTACAATGGTACTTGAGATCGGAAGATTCATTTAAAATAAATGTTACAGTACTGAAAGAGTGCACTAAGTCATAAACATTGATATCGGTAGAGGTGTGTGCACATCCACAGACACATTAATATTTACTTTTTACTGCAGCAATTTACATGAATCTTCTTACACTCATATAATGTTGTACATGACCACAAGGCTCAGGTTTAGCCCTGCTATGCATATTCAAACAACAAAAGCATTGAAGATGTCACAACCACAGTGGAAATACAGAAGGAAACAAATGACACTGAAGACCCTAATCATTCATAATGGCGTCACTGGGAAAAAACGTCAAAAAGGCAATTGCTAATTTCTCATTAATGCATTTGTAGTTTTAAAAAGAAACTACATGGCTTAAAGAAGTGTTACTATATTACAGGCTCTGAAATTGCCAAACAGTTAAACATGATGTGATGTGAATTTTGTGGGACAGAGAATCGTAAAACAATCTGCCTCCTACCTTCAGTGAGTCCCATGTGGATGGTCCAGTAGTTCTGCAGACACTGCAGCTCCTTCTTCATGCCCCTCTTGCAGCGGCAGTCATACAGAGGACTAACCAGCAGCACTTCCAAAGCAGCCTGGCACTCCCTGTTGTTGTCCAGCATGGCTTCCTTCTCCTTGCCCACAAGGCACTGGCGCATCACCCGGTACCGAGAGCTGCAGTAAGGGTTCTGGTTGCACATGTCACTTGCTTGGATGCAGTCCACCCACTCCGGCTGAGCTCCAGGCCCAGACCCGGTGTTTGGAGATCCTGGAGAATTGTTGGCCAAGGACACAGACGAAGCTGAGGGACCATCCCAGGAACTTGCTGCCTTATCTAGATGGGGACAAGAAGACAGAGGTGGAGTTGATAAATTGTAAATTAATGTGTGAGGGATTTTACCGTTGAATACATGTGAGTGTAAGCAGATATCATAAACCTGTTTTCAATTTGTTGATGCAACAGGTTGTATGTGAGACCTATAAAAAGGTTTGATGGCCTATGACATGCCCACACATGTAAAGGCCTCTTTTAGCAAAACAAGTCTTCATGATCCACATGAGTCTTATCTACATGGTGTCTTCTCATGTCTCATTCACACTATACTCAGTGTAGTCGCTTTGGTGCATCTAAAGCCCAACTGCAGCCTTCAGTTTCCTATTAAATCTAATCAAAGGAGTACTTGATCATTGAAGAATATCTAATTATCTCATTGCTAACGAGCAATTAAAAGATGTGAACTACACTTAATTCACATCTAGGCATCTACGAAATGAGCTTAATATGAGTAAACAGTAATCCACAGAGCAGAATCAAGTGTTACAGTTTGACAGGAGTCAAAATTCAATCGCACCTTCACACGAACCTAAGTACTACAATTCTGGTGAAATGGCAAGAGAGACCCCTTGTGGTGATCTTGAGCATTAAGCTCAGAAAAGAGGGGATACTGCAGAGAATCAGAGAGCAACGGGCAAGGAAAGAGTAACATGAAGTTAACTGTAAAAAAATATTTCATCTGTCAGATTATTTAAACTGAAGTACCAGAATGTATGGATATTATAATGATAATTATATTGATGATGAAAAACATGATGATGATAATCATGATGATGGATTTTCTCATATTCAACCAAGCGTAAGTGTGTAATTGAAAAGACCACACAGATTTTCCATTTACTGACTAAAGGCTGGACTGTGCTGTTACAATAATTAGCTTTGTATTTCTGCTGTGGAAGCTGTGGTTGTTTAATGGATCCACTATAAGTGATTCACTCGCATAGATCAAGTTCGGTCTGGTTGAAAATTAAACATAATCTAATCAAACCATCCAGCATACAACAGTAATGCCCATCAGCATATTACTACACATAAGAGGAAAAAAAAAAACGGAATAACCTTGTGCGCTCAAGTCAAGTCCAGCATGAGAAAAGTGGACACATAGCAGACAATGCTCCCTGACAGTAATTACTGATGTCAGAATGTATCTATATGAGCCATACAATTTACAATTTGCACACAGTTGCACATGTTGTTTCCATATTTCACTTCTCACCTAAGAGCAGAAGGAAGATGTAAACGCACATCCACACAGTGACAGACTTCATGTTGGACTCAGCAGGAACAGAGGCGAGTTAGAGTCCAAAAAGACAAATATTTCCACCTTGTGAAAGGTTAATTCCCCTCTCCGGATCCTTGACCCAGGCGTATGGCTAAATGTAAAAAAATCAATATCCTCATTAAAGACGCCCCTTCCGAAAAAAGATCCTCGACTCCCAAATATAATCCACGATTTTTTTTTTCTGGAATATTTAGACTAACCGCGACGCAGGAAAATCCTCTGATATTGAAAAAATAAAAAATCAAATGCCAATCAATCATTCAGTCAATCCATGAAAGCAGTTTCTCAGGGTCCGTCTGCTCTGCGATAATACCGACAAACTACTGAGACTTGATCTCTCCGCATTATAGGGGCTCAGACTGCCCGCTCCAATTGCCCCTTTGAGAAAATTTGTCCCTAAAACATCCCTTAAACTGGCGTAAAAGGATCTGTCAGCTATCCCAATGTCTCTAATGAGGTAGAGGAACTCATCTGAAAGTGCTACAAAACGCTGACTGGATTTTTTTCTCTCCCCACTACTGGCTCCCTCAAAAATCTGTGCGCTCCTCTGGAGGGAGTGAACGCTTCTTTCGCACTGACTGCATGTGTGTCGAGGCATCACAGCACTTTATAAAGAGGAGTTTCTGTGTGCCAGCAGAGGGCGCTGCCGGTGGCTGCTTTCATCACATCGAGGCCAAATAATAAATGTTACCGTATAGAAAAATCACCACGTTATTCCTGTAATTCTCCTGCAGGGAGTTAGGGAAAGATGCACCTGTGGTACTCAGCAGTGAAATTATAGTGACCTTACTTGGCCTGTGAGGTATTTCTTTGATCTCCTGGGGTATTGTTAAAGGATTTTCTGGGAAAGCTTATACATTTTGTGAAACCATTTCTATGATTCATGTATAATATCCTTCTTACATGATTGCTATCTCTTCCACAGGGGAGTCTTTATTCTTTCTTGTTCAGGATACATCTGTGGGAGTGATGAGTCCACTTCTGCAGCAATTCAAAGAATGAATCAGGAAGCAACAATAAGTGTGTTGGCTGATTGAACTCATAGCAAGAACATCCGGTCATCCAGCACATACAGAGTCTTGTATTCCAGTATTTAGCAAGGCCACAAGGCCAATTCCTTTTTGTGTGGCATTCCCAAAACTCATAAAAATTTGCAAATGATTTTTAGGGATGGGGTTCAAGGGTGAACTTAACAATGATGGAGAAAATGTCATCATTCAATACCCCAACACTTCACATGACATCTGTGTTTCCTCTGATTGAAAGAAAGATTTAAAAAACGATCACAATGCATCTTATTATATTTGTGCTCGGAGGAAATAAGCCCACAACCCACAGAATCTGCCATCTTTCAAAGTGGCTTCACATTAAACAAAATGACTTTGTTGTGCATCATCGCTTAAATAGTGCCTGGAATGTCATAAATCTTTACAAATCTTGAAAACAAAGTCTCTATTTAGAGGCTCTGACAGTGACAAACTGCAAGGCCACTGGCTCATAATGATGTTTGACTGTCAGCAGCCCAGGCTTCCATCCAAGAGGGAAAAGAGCTTGCCGTTATAATGGCAAAATCAGCCTCATTCTGCTTGTATTGGCCCAGGCTTATTCTCAACTGCCCCCGGAGTTTGAAGTCTGTCATTATGGGGACACTGAAAAGCATCATGAATGCTCCCTGCATCTGTCCTGCAGTAGTGCTGCAGTGACGGATACAGCCTATTCTTCAGTTGTTTTTGAGCAAAAATGCATTTTTTTAAACCCAGAATGGCAACCTTGTGCTTTTTGAGCAAGTATTTCCAAAAACCAGACCAATTTTCTTATTTTATTTTAGCAGATAACAAATAAGGCATTTAGTTATCCATGTAGTTTCTTACTAAAGAGCAGTTGCATAAACTGTATAAAGTTTACAGTTGCCTGAGCAGTAGGTTCAGGAGGAAAAATAAATTTATAATAACACAAAAAAACATGAACTCCAGAGAGAAACATTAGCTGCAAACACAATGAATAAAACAGCAAAATTTGCATTGTGGATTCTTATTCAGGCCTTGCATTATTTCCATCACTGATGTCCTCACTTTTTTTTTCTTGAGCCAGGCTGTCAGGTCCATGGTGGGAGTTTATTCTTGTTGACATTGCACGATTCACCCGCTCCTTGGGTGTTTAATTGCTCCATTCTGACTTCATAAAGCATCTGCAGTTTTTTTTACATACACAATTAGAGGGAGCCCACAGAGAAACACACACATTCACAGCTCGTATGCGTACACGCTTCCATAAATAAGCATATACTTATGTGCACTGGAAAAGGCGCTTGCAGACACATGCACACAGATGCACATAATCGGTACGTCAGATAACCGTGCTCCCACAAGATGGCTCAAGACCATGAAGATAGGGAATGACAAATCTGGATATAGAAGACATTGTCCCCACTATTGAGGGAAATCAGTCCCTGCCTCTGAGAAGTGTGTCTAATATGGTGAATATAGATGATATCATTATAAATTCATGGAATATGAAATAATGATACAGATAACAGTCAAAGTTAAGACTCTGTGCAATAACTTGTGCTTAGTGATACAGCAGTGGGGGGGTTGAGAGCTAGCTCATGCTTACTCTCATGGGTCAAATAAGAGCTTAGACAGTCTGAAACTATCACCTTGAAAGCAGGGCAGACAAACTTGCATACCAATGTTGTGTATCCAAGTTTATTTGTGTTACAGTGTGTATAGGTGCCTGCACAAGTGAGTGGGTTTTTAAAACGACTGTAGTTTGGTCTTCATTCAAACTAGACCCAGGTGAATCCGACCCATTTAGTGTTAACTATCTAAAATAACACCTTGAATGAACCATTGATCCTCTTGTTTATGTCTTATCCAATAATATTTAATGTAAAAGGATGTTGGCCAACATTGATAAGGATTTGCTTTGCCTAGCAGCTTTGCAAACACGAAATTTAGCTTGCGATTTATCTGAGGGCAAAGGTCGCTGTATCTCTCTCTGCTGCATGCTTGTTGGAGAGAGTACTAATGAACCTGAGCATATAGTATTGTGCATGCACACACAGAGACCCACATGCAAGCACACACAGAGGTTAAGCATGACTGATTAGATTAGGAATTATGGGCTAATTAATGTGTATCTTGGGAGACCTGTACAGCATGCTTATTAGGAGACACAGCCCGAGTTGAGCAGAACATGACAAAAACATAAGTGTTGTTAATTTCCAGAATAAGATTAAATTAAACAGAACTGTATAGCTCTATTCCCTCCTGTTTTATTCAGTTCAGTGTAACAAGAGAAGCTAAAGATGAAACCTCTGCCTGTGTGTACTGTACAGTCATAAATTATTGAAAGTTGGAGCTTGCTGTTGCAAAATATCTTTAAAACTTCTGTAACTGTAACTCTTGACTGAAAGTCAATTCTGAAATATTAAAAAAGGCAAAAAATATATGGGTCATAATATTTTTGAAACCTCTCAGCTTTCACACAGCCATAGTGCCTGTATCAGGTGCAGAGCCCGGAGTCAGTTCAAATCAATCCGTTCGAATCAATGTGAGAGGAAAAATAGCCAATGAAATAAGCATCAGTAAAGTCAATTGCGGAGATGGTGGAGTGACAAGTGAAGCTGTAGGCTACTTCACATTCTGGGTATGGCTTGTATGCTTTATTTTACACTGTTCTGTTCAGCTCACAGTTCAACAACAAGCTACTCTTGTTCCACACAATGTCCTGCATGTCAGTGTTTATGTGTATGTCAACTTTGTTTTGGGTTGTTTTGAACGTATAAACAGCTCTACATTTGTGATGTGACCTCTGCTAGACTCTCTGGAGGCTATCGACCAGTTAGATCCATTTGTTTTCCAAGCATTTCAGACGTTGTCCATTTCTATCACATTACTTTGACAGAAATTGAATTTCCTCTGATGCATTTTTATGTATCCTAAGTGCTGCTCTGTTCTCACTGGGAGTATAGCGTTTCCAGTGGCGTGATGATGCAAAAACACTATGGGTTTAAACAAAAAAAAGGGGAAATGGATTTTATTTTAATGTGAGTATTGCCTTTCATGTTGTTTGTTTTTTTTTATTCAAAATGTTTTCCACATGAATTATTAGTCCTTCCAAGTAAGCATCATCCACATTGCTGTTGTCTAAAGGCTGTTTCAAAATCTTTCAAGAGCACATAAGAACACACAGAGGACAAACTTTATCAGTGTGCTGATGCCATGCTGGGTTTTCTGTCTTTGGGATTGTCATCTTTCTGACTATAATGGCAGCACACAGAGAGGACATGTACCTATTCCTATCAAGGAGGCACAAACATATAGCATGAGTCTGCAGTTTTTACCCAGCTCTTATTTCTTTTCTTCTTTCTTTTACAGTTCAGAAATTTTACAGGCAATGACATTAACAGAGATATATTTTCTGTGGCTGGTTGCTTGTTCAATTTTAGCAATTTGCCACAGCAAATCAGAAGCACATCTAGCCCATTTCGTTAAACACACCATGTGTCCCGTATGGGATATTGACAGGGACCTCTGCTCTGCCCAGCTCAGTGAAGGTCTTGGCATCCAGAACAAGCAGGAAAGTACTTTTCTCCTGGAAACAGAAACAGAGGAGATTAAATTTGTTTGTTTTGAAGGTTACCCTTCTCACAATAATGGTAGTGAAAGTATCAAACCATTTGTCTTGTCTATGCATAGAACATATATATATTGCACACAATATATATATGGCACAACAGATAAACATCGGCAGGTGATATCGGTGAGTGCCTTCTTATTTGCAGATGTCAGTTAACAATGCAAATATTGGCCCGATACAGATGTTCAGCCAATAAATTGGTGCATATATATGCATGCATCACATAAAAAAAATATATACAATGCTGTATGACTGACTGTGGTTATGTATCTTTGTTCTTTTTATTTCTCACAGTACAGAGTAAAAGTACACAATTTAATGTGAATATCAGTCACAGTAATGTGGTCACTGTTGAAGTTAACAATGTCTGTGGCTGCTCTAGAAAACTGTTTTTGTGTTTTTTTGATAGTTGTTAACTTACTTCTCTGGGTGTGATGATGACTGACAAGACCACTCCGTCATCTTCCTCTGTAGCTTTGGGCGAAGCAACAAAGACAGGCTCAGACGGGTACAAGCCAGGGTAACGCCACACCTAGACAGAGAAGATTACATAAATATCCCTTTCACTCTGAGCTGTTTCATGTTATAAAACCCAACTCCCAACCTGCTGCCCTCAGTGATAGAGAAATAACTTTGATGTGATAATACTCGGCCCAGTTAACAATGAGGTCTCCTTAAGAAGTCTTTGATTGATAGAGACCTTAAGCTCCTTGGTGTGGACATCCATCTTGAGTAGGGAGTCACTGAAGACATGTCCAAAGCCACAGGAGTAGAAGTAGCGGTAAGGTCTGCCATTGTACTGGTCGTAGTTGATCTGAGGGAACTCGAGGCCACCGTACTGCAGCAGCTCGTCGACGTGAAGTTCCTCATGGGTCATGTAAACCTGTGGGGTCACAGGAGAAAGTCAGGGTTTTTGTCAGATCAGTGCAACTTTTACATTTTAGCCCAGAAGTTGGCCCAGTTAATGCACACCAAAAGACCTGATTTACTGTACACTGTTATGCTGTGATGGCTTGAATCAATACTGCATTATTCTCTAAAACAGGTAAATGGATACCTGCACAAGGTCCTAGGTGTGCATTTCAAACATTAGTTAAGCATAAATCAATTTCTTTTAATTTTGCTTTAAAAATATGTGTACCTTCAGCTGCAATTACAAAACACTTTTACTGCTGTTTTTAGCTGTTATAACACAAGACAGTGTCACACAGGTAGTCATGACAACTGAAACATCAACCTCTCTTTCAACCTTTTAGTCTTGAACAGCATGGTGGACTCATTTTGACATAATTTTTTGCTGTAAGTCATGAAATTACTATCTTGCAGAATGTACCTTCAGTGTCTCATCATGTTAAATAATTGAGAGTGTGTGGGAGTGAATTGGCTGTATTCATCATGATTATTGGTCTCATTCTTTACTTGATTCCAGGAAAACCAGAGCGAGTGTAATGTACAGTTAAACATATTACTTTACAGAATGAGCGTACTGCACTCAGTTTAATTCTACCTCTCGTGGTTGTGTCTTCTTTGCAGTGGCTTTATAGTTATGCAGAGTGACAAGGTTTTGGTCCAAAGGAGTTTGTTCATCCACATTCAGGGGTAGGACGTATCTCCTTGGGAGGTTTCTGCACAACGAGTTGTAAAACTGCCAAAATAAATCAGACAGCCATGAAAAATTGTGAGTGTGGCTCCTGACTGAAAGATGCAATGCAACCTCAGGAACAATCAGACTCAAACAGATACAGAATACTGACACAAAATGGTGCTGCTATTTACATTATTTGGAGGCATTTTAATTGTAAATTTTTTTTTGCTTAAAATAACACGCTTCACCACATTTTAAATCAGAAATTGATCAATTTATGAGTGAAAAGAAAAAGGAAAAGGAAAATAAAAGACTATCAGATACATTTCATCTAACTCTGTCTTTTGCTAATAAGAGATGACCTTGGTGTAAAAAGATGGTCTTTACACACAGAACCACAAAAACCTCTCTAAACTCTTGCTCATACATGTTTCACCTTCATGTTTTGTGGACATTGTTTAAAGGAAGAAGAAATTGGGTGGATGAATGGATGAGTTTATGGTAATGTTAAAAATACAAACTACCTGAACATTGGTGGAAACAGAAACACTATTATGTAAAAATCACTCCTGTTGAAATAGTTCAGTAAAAGCCAATACTTCAATCTGAGCTGCTATCAACAAATCAACTATTATGTTCTGTACCATTATGCATTTTTGATTGTGTGCGTTAAAGTACGATTTCCGATGTCATGCATTCACCTTGTCCATTTCCTCTCCCGAGCCTCTGCGGAGGTTCTCCAGTGTGAAGTCTCCAATGACCTCACCATCGTCCCCACAGCACATGTCCATAACCAAGAACCCGTTGTCTTCAAAAGCATTGATCTGATGCAGTGTGAACATGGGTGCTGCACGGTACCTCACTTCACTCTCCTGTTGTACCAGCCACAGCAACCAATCAAAAAAATAATAGATGGTTGGAAAAGGCTTTTGGGCAAACAAAGAGTTTCTGTGTTGGTTTTAACATTTGAGCACAAGCGCCCTCACTGGCACTGCTGTTATTGTGTTGCACCTTCACATTATGAAAGTTTGATATTGTATGCTTAATGGGTATGCTGTGTAATGAGATGAGAAAATTGAGAGTAACAATGTATGAGAAAAGGCTACACCATCAGAGTGTGACTTCATCAAAATAAATAAGGAAAAAACTTCATGCGTGAAGAGATTAGCTTGCAGTTTTCCTTTTTTGTTCTGACTATTCAGCAAATGGGTGTGTGTTTCCTACTTCACACTTTCCATGAAGTAAGTCCGCTGCTGTGCAGTAAACTAATTTTAACCCACCTTGCCGGTGTGCCTATTGACCAAGTGGAAGATGGTTTCATACTGAGGCTCCCAGGTCATGACTTTATGAAAGCTTTTTCCCTGGATTCTGTACAGCATGAACTTCAGCAGGTCCAGCTTGAGTGGTTGCTCAATGAACACAATGTAGTTCTCCGACATGACTGCACACACAAGACGAAATGTATGCAGAAAAAAAAAGATTGACACTGCTTATTGATCATATTTCATCATAATAATTCATATTTTCAAGCTTGTATAATATACAGTGCCTTGCGAAAGTATTCGGCCCCCTT